CTGCATCCGACACAACACTAAAACCATTAGATAGTATACACAATACCTCATTAAGAATTGCTCTGGGAGCATTTAGAACAAACACCGGTAGAAAGTTTATATAGTGAAACTGGAGAACCATCTTTACTACACCGTCGCATTTATTTAACATTAACACATGCAACCTCTATAGCATCCAATCGAAATAGACCTATTTTTGATAATACATTCAATAACAAACACACACTTCAAAATAGATCTAATTCACACAAACCTTTCTATGAGAGAATTCGATTCTATCTAAGATATTTAAACCTAGATTTTCCAGATATATTTCAAATAAATTTGAACCATCCTCCACCTTGGTGTACTAATATCCCCGAAATAAATTATAATCTTACTGCATTTAATAAGTATTCTACAAATCCGGCTGTTATTAAAGAAAGCTGCAGGATATTTACAGATACATCCAAATGCAACACAGGAGTTGGTGCTGCATATGTAACGTCTAACAATCAATTTCAATTCAACTTTGATGGTATACAAGGCAAATATCGAACACAGTAATTAATTAAATCTTGCCCAAGTACTTTCGATCAATAGATCATCCTCAGGGGCATTTCGTCAGTTGTGGCCTATCCGACATGAGCAGAATGTCATACGTCAATTTGGGCATAACAATACAATACACAAAGACAAACAAACGCTTTAAAATTTTTAAAAATGGAGAAGCTACATGTTATATAGAAGCCGGAGACAGAATGGCTCCCGGTCTGGCGGAAATATTGAGATGACATGATAACTTCACTTGGGTGAAGTGTGTACAGTGTTCTCGGTGGTTTCATGAATGTTGCTCTAGATTTAAAGTAAAATGTGACTTCTGCGGTACCATGGAAATAATGTCACAAAAAGGGAAGTTTCCCATTAATAGGAAGATTGTGGTCAAGAAAGCAAAAGAATAGACTTGTTTTGTTTGCTTTTTTTTATTTGGTTATTGTAATATTTATTATTATGTAAGATATACATATTTTTTACTTTATACCTGGTTTGTAGTCATTGATCCTACTTTTTACCCCTGGTCCATCTCTCCCAAGCTACTGGTCCATCTCACCCAGACACGTCCGGGTGAGATGGATCATGCAAAGGAAAAAATGCAATGTAGCCTTTATTAATAATAGTCAATTAGAAAGGAAACTGTCAAGGGTATAAAACTAAATTCTTTACCAAACGCTTAAATAATAATGTTAATAAGTTGACAAATATAATTTTACTGAGCATCCAAAGAAATGTGTTCCAACTCTCCGGAGTATAATATATATATATATAATATATATATATATATATATATATATTATATATATATATATATATATATATATATATATGTAATTGTCTCACTGAGATTTCGAATTAATTTTTTTTAAACTAGTTCACGTCGTATTAAAATTTATTTCACCTGCGTGTGTATAAAATCTAAATAATTAATATTATAATATGAATTAATAAAAACAGTTGAATGAAATTGTCATAGACGGAAACTTTATTAATTATCGTTACAAATGTATGTTAATGCCTACTTTGGAAAATAATTTTATTACGCCTTCCGTTCTCTATTCAAAATGATTAAGCATAATTATATTAAAAACACAAAAAATAATTATACATTTAAATTATTTAGGTTTTTCGTTTATTTGAACTTTGGCACTGTATTTATTTTTTATTTAATCGCCTAGCTAGGTGCTAGAATAACTGGCTAGATGATTATATCATCACATATTGATATAAAACTTAAAAACTTTTGTTTTCAAAACTTGAACTGGAGAACTGTTTGTCTCAAATTGGTCATTCAGAATTATGCCTTTATTTTTAATTTGGTAATTTCTATAGATTCGAAAAAAAATAGCTTAAGGCCTTTATTTTGAAGGTGAAGAATTTGAAATTGGTCATTTAAATAATGATTATGGTATAAAAGGTGAAGTGAGTACGTAGAATCTGTTTTTCTATTATTTAAAGCCTTTTTGTGCTCTCCTATCCGTTTTTTAAAAGTTTTACCAGTTTGACCGGTGTAAGTTTTTAGGCAGGCGCCACATTTCAGTTCGTATACACCACAGTGAAAGCGCTTCTTCTTTTTCTGTTGTTGTTCTTAATATATGTTGTTAATTGTTCTGAAAGCTGGTGGATTGTAATAATTTTTTTATCTTTCTTTTCTTATTTTTTTTTTAATTTACGGTATACCTCTGATGTGGTTTCTAGGAATACCGTAGAATGGTTTTGATTTGATATAAGGAGTAGCTCCTTCTTTATCAAAGCTATCCATCAGCAATCTCGTTACCAAACCCTTTATGTCCTGGTACCCATAACTTAGATCTCTTGAAGCATTAGACAGTAAACAATGAGATATCAGATATCAACTTGTATATGTCAGTTCGTTAATGTCTGTGTCACGTTTTACGTTTTGGTAAGTCATATATATATATATATATATATATATATATATATATATATATATATATATACATACATATTTTACAATATCTGTTTGTCCTTATATATATATATATATATATATATATATATATATATATATATATATATACACACATTTTAGAATCTTGACAAAGGCAAGGGTTTCCTGCCGAAACGTTGATTGATTGCAATGGAAAATAAAATCTATTTCCACATGTAACATATCTTTATTGAACCTAAACCCAAGAAACATTAATTTTATATTAAATATAATACGGTTAAAGAAACTCAAAACTACTATATATATATATATAATATATATATATATATATATATATATATATATATATGTATATATAATTACAATATTTTAATTTTGTAGAAATAATGTTGACAATAATTATTATTTTGATGATCGATTTATGTCAGAAAGACACTCGTTTCTGTTTATTATATTTTTTGTTGTTGATAACTAGTTTTCGATTGTTGTATGGTTGCTTACAAAATGGCGCCAAATATGAATATTTAATTTTTTTGAATTTAGTCAGGAAATTTAATATTAGGGAATTATAGTATTAATTTTCGTAAGACAGAATGTAATTATAGATATTGCTTAGTTTATCAATATCAGTTTTTTTATTAACGCATTGATATTTTGTTTATGCATACCATTTCTAAGAATTCTCTTTTATTTAAATGATTTCACGTCTTAATATCTTAGTTTCATTGAAATTAAATTAATATTTATTAATTGCATAATCTATTAATGCACACGCATTTTTATTATTTCTCAGGTCACTTTTATGTGATGTTAGTCTGCCTATTAGATTTCTAGATGTGTGTCACATGTATGACTTATCACAATGTTAGCATGGTATTCTATAAACTACCTTTGAGCTTTCCATAATGCTAATAGGTGATTTAGTTTTTGTATATAATGATGCTAGAAAATTTAATGGATTAACCTCATGTTCTAAGTTTTTGTGCTAGTTTTATACAATGCTTTTTAATTCAAATTTCATCGTAATTACTGATAAAATAATTATAACCATATTTTAGCATATCCTGAAGAAGCGAATAAATTTTGTGAAAGCTTGATAAAAGAACAAAGAGTTTTACTTATTCTGCCCTGTGTGCACTATAATGACTGTAACCTCAAAATAAAACTTTAGTTTACATAACATGTCAGTCAATAATACCTTACTACTTTATATATATATATATATATATATATATATATATATATATATACATATATATATACATATATATATATATATACATATATATATATATATATATATATATATATATATATATATATACATATATATATATATATATATATATATATATATATATATATATGTTACAAGCAAAGCCCGAATTTGGACAAACCTAGAATTGTATGGAAATTATTGTCTACTTCTAGCATTGTACCCCCAAGCTGTACAATGTCCGAAATGATCAAAATTAAAAATGGTTATCGAAATGCTCATCGATTCTAATCGATTATCATTGACAAGCGACACACCAAATCAAAAATCGAACATTTCTTGTTAATTATTTGATATTTTTATATTTATTATTTATATATAAATTTGTTCGTTTTCTAATCGACAATCTGATAAAAGACTGTGTCAAACATAAATAATTAGAAGAAACATTTAAGATTTTCAAGAGATGTTTATAATAATTTAAAATAATTTAATACTACAATCCAGAAATCAGAGGCTCTAATTAATTATGGATTTATAACATCATTGATGTTTGATTGTATTTAATAACAAATGGGGAATACTCGTCACAATAGATATGAATCGATATCTGTCATCTTCTCCCAAACTTTGTGGCATGCATACCGATTGAAATTCGAACACTGTACAGTAATTCTTTTATACAAAGTCTGAAGATTATGTCTATTTTGGAGATTGTACAGTAAAGGGGTACAATGCTAGAACTGGACAAAATTTTCCGTACAATGCTAGGATTGTCCAATTTCGGACATTGCTCGTAACATAAATAGTGCGTCCATGCTTATCGGCAAACTCTCTAGCTGAGTGTGGAGAACTTCAATAAGTTGTTTTTTTTTTGTATAAAAATCTTCAAAATACAAATATTTTCCATTAAAAGCTTTGCAGTTCAGTTTTCTTTGAAGAGTGTTTGGTATCTTAGTGATCTGTGTGTGTAATTGTACTTTAAAATAAGTTTGCATTTATAATATTTCTACTTCCGAAATCGTTCTCAAAATACGACAAAATAAACTTATTTTACAGTAAAATTGTGGCTTATTCCAAATAAAAATAGTAAATTACACAATTAATAAAATAAAAGGGAGACAATTTTTGCTACACAGGTGTAGAAAACAAGGCATTTCCAATACAAATCAATGTAATAAAAGATATGCTTTCTATTTTGTTACTTCAAAAATATTATAAAAGAACAGCTACATAAATTCATTGAAAATTTGGCTACCGTTAGTTTTGATTACTTTATTCATAAAACGGATTTATATCAAAGATCGGCTAGCTTCATCAACTATTCAATACAAATTGTATTATAAAATGCGGTTTTTAAGAACACTAGATTATCATTACTAACCACAATTGTTATTTGTTTTAGACCCACAGAGCACGGAAGCATCATGTTACTTTCCACAAGAATTTCAAGGGGAATTTATAATGCAAAGTCCCCCATCACCACAGAACCTTATGATGGGAACGGGAATACAATACAGTACTCTCAATATCACTGAAAATTCAATACCAATTTGGGGAAATTGTCACCGCAGGATCGGAAACAATTTCATACTGATGTTCAAGTACGTATTATCTAGTAGTTTGGATTAAACACAAAATCAGCCGGAGGTCAATTAATGTATGAACATTCTAGGGGTAAATTTTAATATTATTTTTTATGCGGACTTATTAAATCAGAGTATGTTCTAGTTTAAAAATTAAGTTGGTCAATAACCTCAGAAATGAAAGTTTTTGTACATTGATTTCAATATTTTGTAGTATTAATTATTATATTGTGTTATATTATACATGGTGTTTCATGGATATACTTAACCTCAGGATTGCAAAATACCGTACTTAATGGGTTATCCTAACTTAATGACCCATACACAGGGTGTTGTTTAGTACATATATAATATATATATATATATATATATATATATATATATATATATATATATATGTATATATATATATATATATATGTATATATATATATATATATTATATATATACAGTCCTCTTCCTATGTAACGATATGCAAGGGACCGGAAATTTTCACCATTATAAGGAGAGATCGTTATACAGAGGGGAACAAAAATCGTTACTGTAATGACTGTAATACTGTACTAAATAACCTCTTGTAATTTAAAAAATTGATCAAAAGGATTATAAATAAATTAACACTGTATATATAGTACACAACAAAGATTTACTAAAAAATTATACATATAAGCAATACAGTGCAAAAAATGACTGTACAATTAAAAAATGTATACTGTATATAACAAAATAAGATGTTACTGTACAGTATTTTCATCAAAGTATGAAAAAAGATTTTATATTTAGCCTACATTAATGAAAAAGTCTGTCACTTTGGTGTGTTTTCTTTTTACCTTCCACAGAACCGACCTGACCTTGTCCTCAAGATGCTTAGAATCTTCCACAGCATTCATATCGTCTTACTGGTAAATGAAAAACCAATAATATACTTTTGCCGCATCTAATGGCTGTTGAGGGGTCGGAGCTGTTTCTGGCTCTACTTCCTCTTCCAGTTTACTGTTTTTTTTTCTTCTACATGAACTACTTGTAAAATGTCTTCGTCAGAAAGAATAGATGTTGTAACTATATTTTCATCAACTTCTTCGAAATCTGTTAGCTCTTCTGGTGCGTAGATGATAGAAAGTTAAAACTGTCTGATCGGCAGTTTATCTTCATCCTGTCAATCCTTGATCTTCCAGCCATTCTTCGTGTTTAAAGGAATGATTTATCGTATTGCTTACCACCTCGTCGCAGGATTGACTAATCATTAGGATGGCGTCAAAAACGTTTAGTTTGAGATCATCATTCTTCTCAACCAATTCCTAAAAGTCTTCTCCTGTAGTGGCTTCTCAAACTGTTGATGACGCTTTGGTCTATGAGCTAAAGGGCACTTTTAGTGTTCGCTTGCAGGAAACAAAGTTCAATGTTTTGAAGGTGGCACAATACAGGATGAGCCGGACAATTGTTTACAAACTTTTTTATGTTTCTAAAGCTACCTGGGTTTTTCGACTTCCCTATCCCTAACAATTTTCTCTTCACTGAACCTGTCATGTTAGCAGCCACTAAAACCGTAATCCATTCCTTGAAGAGTTTTCCACCAACACACCTTTCTGATTAAAGTTCTGTTAAGTATCATTTTAAAAAATAATCCAACGTAGCTTGCTTTCCAACGTAGCTTGGAATCTAATGGCATACCCAAATATTTTGCCGTATTTGCATAAGGTATTTGGTTTTTTCTCATACTTAACTCGAAAGTATCTTTCGGATATATATGATTCTAGTAGTTCAGAATATTGTTTTGGTAAATAGCATCTCATTTTATGATATAATCCGTCATGCCACACTTTGTAAACAGACTTTTACTTCTTTTAGAGTTTTTTCTACTGTATCTGTTATACTATGCACCTGATCTATCGTTGAGTGGCTTGTTCTAAACCCAAAGTGATGATTAGGAATTAGATTTTTTTTTCTCTATAATCGGTTTTGGTCTCTTCAAGAGTAATTTTTCGTATAATTTAGACATAACAGGTAACCGTGAAATAGGCCTATATGATGATGCTTCTTGTGGAGGTTTTCCTGGTTTTAGTGTCGTTATAATTTTTGTCACCTTCATATCTTTGGTATTATACGTACCTCAGCCTAAAGGAAGCGTTTATAAGATGTGTTAATTTTATTATAGCTTTCCTTGGAAGTTGCTTTCATACTTCCCCAATAAGTAGATCAAATCCAGGAGCTTTCTTTGGAATTATATCTTCTTTTATTTCCAAATATACTTCTTTTGGAGTTACAGGGCTAATCTCCATTTCATCTTGATCAGGGATCCAGATTTCATCCCAGTTAATTATTTCTCGTTCTTCATTTGGTTGAAAAGTATTGTCTAGGTGATCAGCAAACCTGTTGGCCTTTTGTATATTGCTTCTTGCCCAGCTACCATTAGTATTTCCAATTGATGGATTCTGTAAAATTAGCCTTTTTAATTATTTGGTAGCCTTCCACAATGAGTTATCAGTAGCGCTATCATTTGATAGTTCACTTAGGTAGATGCTAACCGATTCGTTTTTATTTTTTTTAATTTCCCTTTTTAATTTTTGTGTGGGTTTTATTGACTGGTGTTCTAGACTGATGCCACTTACATCTCAGTTTTCTTTTTTCGGTTATCATTTCTCTGATTTCTTTCGGGTAGTTATTTCCTTTTATTCTTTCGACACTGTCCGTGTTGTTGTTCCAAGCAGCTTGTTGTACATTTTTAGTGAGTAATTCTACTTCTGCCTCTAGTTGATCAACGGTTCTTAATGGAACTGAGAGGTTAATCTTCTCTTTAAGGTCTATATGGAAACTTTTACAGTCAGTATTTTTATTAACAAGTCTAGAATAATTTGAGAATGGTCAGAGTTTATATCCAATGCCTCTTCTATCTCTATGTAATTTGTTGAAATATTTCTGACTACAAAGAAGTCGAAAGGTCTGGGATTTTATTTGTGTCAGTAGGCCAGTATGTTGGCTTTCCCGTTGATACTGTATGTATGTATGTTTTGCATTGAAGTCTCCTCCAAGGATAAATCTATGTCCTATTGATTTTTCTTGATGGCATGTCTTGACGGACTGTAAACCGCTATGACGATTACCTATAGTTTTTACATTTAATTTTTACTGATATATCCTGAAATTCTGTAGTTCTGTATCTCATTTCCTGATAGTTCATAGTATTTTCTTTGATTATTACCGCACTACCTCCTTTGGCTGCATTATCAATGTGAATAGTATGATAAGTTTTATAAACCCTAAATCTAATAGGTATATGGACTCATTCGCAAAATGGGTTTCAGAAATGAGGCATATGTCTATTTTTTCTATATCTAGTATCGCTTTTTCTATATCTAGTTCTTGCTGATGTTTCAAGATATCATTTGCATTCCATTCTACTAGTCGTAAACTACCGCCATTACCAAGTCTTTTAGGAATAGCTCCTTTGGTGCTATATTCTATTCTGATTATACGCTCGTCCAGGTTAGTTAATCTCTCTAATATTTTCTGTAGGGTTTGTTCTATTTTCAGATCTTTTTAACTACTACAGTTTTCTTCGTTACTTTTACCAGCTGCTACCATGCTATAAGTTCTTGTTTTGTTTTATTCTTGTTTTGGATTTTCTACAGGTTTTGGATGCATTCTTTGTGGTTGTCTGGGTAAGGTCTGTTTCTTGTTATATTTATCTTTATTTTTTGGATTTCCTTTGTCACGATAAATCCTCTATAGTTAGCACGCTACATCCTCTATAGTGTTCTCCACAGTGGACACATTTAGGTTTTGCGTCCTTGGGTTTCTCACATTTGGCTGTTAGGTGTTTTCCTGTGCAGCGGACACATCTTGGTTCTTTCGCACAGTAACCTTGTGTGTGTCCATATGCTTGACATCTCTTACATTGAGGTACCAATTTTGATTTTCTTAGCGGAAGTATTTGTACTTTTACGCTCATGATTTTTGAGATCTCATAGATTTTATTAATATTTTCGTCATTTCTGAATACCAATATAAACATATTTAGTGGTTGTTTTGTTTTGTATTTTAATTTCAGTATGACACCTATTATCTTGAATCCTTTATTACTTAAATCGTTCATGATCGAATCTTTACTGGCTGAATGATGTAACTTATTGACCGTAATTTTAATGGGTCGGATTTGCTTATTTTCATCTGTATGCCCTGTATAATTTACTTTGCTTAACTTTTTCGTTAATTTTCTGAAGTCTTCTTCACTATCGCTATTAATTTTAGCGCTCTTATCTCCAAGTACTTTTATCTGGAATTTAGCTGTACATAAATAATTCATGAAATTTGCTAAATTCGGCAATACTCTCCACAATTATTGGAGGTGGGATTTGTGTTTTTCTAGTTTTTTTCTTCTCTTTGTTGGACATATGAGTCTTTTTGTGATGGGGTCAATGCTGTATCCATTTTACGTTTTTTGAAGTTTTTGACACGTATCCACTCTGGCACTCTGTCTCCTCAGGTAATTCCTCCTCGTCAGAATGAAATTCCTCATTCTTAGGTTATTTCTCTTTGGACAAGTTTTTCTCTAGATCTGCAAAGTTTAATTGCAAGCTTTCATTTAATTTTTGTAAGTTATCTAACTGGAGTTAGAGCTGATTTACTCTATTCGTAGCGTAAATCTTCTCCATTTCCGTCTGTTTTCATGTAGTGTACAGCATATGTTCATTCTGGGACCTTGCATAATTTTCCTGAAAGAAGGTACTATTTTGTTGTATTAACAGTACTTCGTTAGGTGTTTGTGGACCCGCATTTTGATGGATCATTTTAGCGAGAACCAACAATCATAGCAGTCACTAAGTGCCCTTCATTATTTCTAACCAAGCGCCCGGACTATAAACAATTTAAAAGTCATTTGGATTTATCTTACCAGTTTTTGTCACTTATCTATTTTCGACTTAATTATCAAATAATAATTAGCAGACACTTGATGTAATTAGCAGACAGGCCAATTAGTGGCCGTGATGGCGACCATCATGGCAATCTGTATTTTGCAAAACTGCGGCTCCTTCCTGGTGCTCGTTTTTTCCTTCAACTTTTCTTTGAAGAATTCATTGCAGCAACCCATATCTTTTGCTGTTCCTCATGATGTGACCGAGTCATTCAATTTTGACTGTTTTTATTGTCGTAAACAACTCTTTTCCTTTTTGCATTCTTAATAAAAACTTCCTGGTTAGTAACGTAGTCGGAATAGGATATCTTCAGAATTCTAAGATAAAGCCACATTTGGAAAACCAGTTTTCTATCAGGTAACGGCTGTGTAGAGTCCACGACTCAATTCCTTACAACAGTCTAGAAAGTATAACATCGTAGTAAGCTAAAGTTTTTATTGGGGGGTAAATATTATCTTTATTCCTCTTGGTTTAAGAATTTTGTCGATTTTGTCGGTGAACACCTTTGGTGTAAGGATTAAAGGCTTTCGTATGATGAGGGTCTGAGCCTTTGGGTTGAGAGAAATGTCTGTGGATGCTCTTATTGATGTTATTTTTGCGGTAACCGTTTTGGATGAGGGCTTGTTTGAAACTAGAGAGCTCTGTGGTCTACTTGCATCATCGCAATCAAAATCCTACTGTCAGAAATGTTCGCGCCAATCCCCGCACCAATCATCACGCTAACCTCCAGGCCAATCTCCACCCAAACCACGCCACCATCAACGGTATAAATGAACCGTCCTCTATTACCAGTAGCAGTACTGTATTGGTTAGTGATCAGTGCAGTAGTGCTTATATATATATATATATATATATATATATATATATATATAAATATAAATATATATATATATACGGAAAAAGGAGTACGACCGTCAATCCAATATATATATAAGGATCACTCAGACGAGTGGTGGGTTCTTATATCGGTCTCTAGGTGGAGAAATAAAAGACAAAGTTGATAGGCTACTTTATCTATTTGAAGACGTTTTGAAAGCATCATCAGTTCATCTAAAAAATTATTACAATATGAGAACCACACAATCATGGAAACGATGTTAATATGTTACCTTAAAAAGATATGTAGCAGTCAATGTTAATAACAAACATGTGAATGAAACTAAGTAAATGGACATAATACGCTGATCTTGTATAAACAGTTAAGCAACTAACAACATATATAACTTGTAAAAAATTAGCACAGCAATTGACCATGTGGTCTAAAGTAAATTCAATGTTATTTAATGTTAATAAGTGAGCAAGAACCAAGAAAATCATAAATAACTTCCAACTATTTAATGGATATTAAGCTTGATTTTAACTTTAGGTAGCATTATAAGTAATATTAATAAAATCTAAAAATAGTAAATAAGTACCGATCAAAGCCTATGAATGTCGCCGGGAAAATGGCGTTTAATGAAACAGGAACGAACTAAACCGCAAAAAGACAGCCAACCTTGAGGTCAAAATTACTTTTGACAGATCAACAAGGTGTAAATACCAACCCAAATTTTGGGCGGTTATTTAAGTTTAACTGAGTTTGAGTCCAACTCAGTTAAACTTAAATTAACCGCCCAAAATTTGGGTTGGTATTTACACCTTGTTGATCTGTCAAAAGTAATTTTGACCTCAAGGTTGGCTGTCTTTTTGCGGTTTAGTTCGTTCCTGTTTCATTAAACGCCATTTTCCCGGCGACATTCATAGGGCTTTGATCGGTAACTTCATATTTACTATTTTTTAGAATTTTATTAATATTACTTATAATGCTACCTAAAGTTAAAATCAAAGCTTAATATCCATTAAATAGTTGGAAGTTATTTATGATTTTCTTGGTTCTTGCTCACTTATTAACATTAAATAACATTGAATTTACTTTAGACCACATGGTCAATTGCTGTGCTAATTTTTTACAAGTTCATATATGTTGTTAGTTGCTTAACTGTTTATACAAGATCAGCGTATTATGTCCATTTACTTAGTTTCATTCACATGTTTGTTAATAACATTGACTGCTACATATCTTTTTAAGGTAACAATTAACATCGTTTCCATGATTGTGTGGTTCTCATATTGTAATAATTTTTAGATGAACTGATGATGCTTTCAAAACTCGAAAGCGAAACGTCTTCCAAAATAGATATAGTAGCCTATCAACTTTGTCTTTTATTTCTCCACCTAGAGACCGATATAAGAACCCACCACTCGTCTGAGTGATCCTTATATATATATATATATATATATTAATATATATAATATATATATATATATATATATATATATATATATATTGTTATGATGTGTAAAATTGAAAATTATATTGGTTTGCTCTTAATATATTTCAAAGTACAAAATCTAATAATTCAACTATATAAAAGATATTTCGAAGAAATGAAAGTCCATTATCCTGGATTACCTGTAGTAAACAACATTTAAAGATATGCATAAATTATTTTCTTTGTAAAATATATTCGATTTTCGTGAGTGAACGTCGTGAAATCGTGAACAATGCGAGCGGGTTTTCCAAATAGAGTTGTACGTCGATACAGTGACTAAGACAATAGAATAGAATTATTTAGAAAATATAATTTTTCGTTAGTTCTTTAGAATTCGTAGAATCCGATCAGCATGTTAATAGTTTTTAGGAATTTTATAATTGTAGGTAAAATTTTTGTTTGTTATCTAAATGGTAGATGGGGATGAATGTGAGGAACCTTGATAGGCGGAGATTGAAAGAAGTGGGATAGGTATGAGTAATGAGAGTTTAGCTAGAGGAAAAAAAATCAGTTGTTTGCCAAGGGTTCAAGGCGAACAGTCGTTGTTCTCTGGTGGTTCCCCAGTGATAGTAAGCAGTAGAAGTGAATGTTTGTGAGTTTTCTTGGAGTAAGTGTATCTGACGGAAGCTGATCCAGTAAAAGTTATATTTTTCTACTTATATTCCAAGAGTCAGTGTTCAGGCCGGAACAAGAGATTGAGTTTATCGAGAGGAGAAGAGGCTAGCATCATTTGAACGATACGTGCATTTGAAGGAGATTACTAAGACGATAGGCTCGCAATAATATGTTGTAAGATTGCTGATTACCTAGGGGACTGCTAAGAATAGATAGTGTAGGCTACAAGGAACAAGGATTTGGACAACTCATCATCAGAGAGATAGTTTTACCATTCGTCAGTTTTTCTTTATTAACAACACATTTTTTAACAATTGCTTTAGAAAAGATAGGAATATTTTGATCAGGAGATTTAGAACAACAATTTTGATTTAAAATTTTAATTTATATTGTATTTGCATTTATATATTGCAATATATTGCATTTATTTTTGAAGGTTCACGTACGTAGAACAAAATTTTGATAATCATTATATGAGATAATTTTTATTGAAGATATTTGAGTGTGAATTTTATTTCAATATAAAATATCATGTTGTATCATATATTTTTTTATTCTTCCGGTATTCTTTGGAACTTACCTATCATATGTAAAGCATAGATATTGAAGCATGAGTATAACCCGAGATAAAAAATTAAATAGTGTGATAGAATCATAATTGCATCATTTAAATAAGTTTAATAATATATATATATATATATATATATATATATATATATATATATATATATATAAGTAAAAAGTAATTGTATATCTCGCAAAACAGAAAACCAAAAATGGTATATCGATGGAAGGCAACCTTATATACCTTATTGGTGCAGCCAAGTTAGAAAAGGAGCATATTAACTTGGGAAAGGGTCACTACAGGAGTAATGCAACCAATTTGTCGTATTAGAGTTAGAAGAACCCGATGGTTTCCTGGGCAACAACTAACACCAACCACTGATCCAAGTAATAAGCTCCTTTCCCAAGTTAATGTACTCCTTAGAATTAGTAAAATCATCAGATATATAATTTATCCCTTTTGTTCAAATGCATTTTTCGATCACATGAAATTTAATAGACAGTGAGGAATTTTCTTAAAACTTTTTTCATAATCGTCAACATGCTTAACCAATAACAAGAACAACCAATATAAAAGACTGACCACGAAGGTTATTGCAGATTTTTTTCGCAGCGCCCTTCACTTTATTTATGAGAAAGTTCCAGGAAAAGCCCTAATTAATAATAAGCCAATCTGTATTTTAGTCGACTTTTTTTTAGTCTATGAATGTTGATATTTTTAGCTATAGTGAAACACTATGTGTAAGATGTTTGCTCTTGAAACTAAGATCTTCAAATGTTTTGCAAATCTTCGTTGCTACAGAAGAAACAATATCAAAATGCTTTACAAATGAAAAAGCTGCAGAAGAAAACTGCCCTTCAGAAGATACTGTAGTAACACGAGAAGCCGCAGAAATATTGCTCTTCAGTAAGTGCTCTTTATTTTCTCCACATATAATAGGTCGACCAATCATTTCGCGTTAAGTAATTAAAAATATTTGTAAGTATTTTATAATTCTGACAATAAGATAGGGAATAGTGAACAGAAAATTGAATTTCACGTGAAATAATATTGGCGAAAAATAAAATGAAGTCATGTTTTTCTGAATCATCAACAGAAAATAATTGTGTCACTTATAAAAAAAAATAATTAGTAGTATGCCCTCTAGACAAATGCAATTTCCAAATTGTTTCCACCAATCTCACAGTCACTTTACGATTATTTGCAAACAATCGCCACTGGCAACTAATTGGACGCATCATCTGCTATGTAGTATGCGGCTAATTTCATTAGTAACTTGCTCCTGATAAATTTACAACATGGAAACACGCAATTAATTATGCCTGTTTTTTGATAAGCCCTTAAAAATTGGGACTGCTTCTATTCTGCTCTGAAATTGAATAATTCTCGAAAAATTCGTTTTTTATTCCACGTTTTACTCTCATCATGACTCTGAAACTCCAGTTCAGTTGCGCCACAAAATGCTAAAGAGGTTACAGTATAGAGAACGTTCCGATGAAGTTAGCTATAGTTTATTTTTATGAACGAGAGAGTAATTAGCATAATTTTAACTAATACCTCCGACCACTCCAATGGGCGTGCTCAAGATTAATTGAAAAATTACTTTGAATAATTGTAAAAAATGAATGAATTATTTCAGTGTTATAAAGTGTTATTTGTATGTAAACAAAAGTGACCTCTTTTATCACACACTATATTAGAACTGACTGGCCTACATTAAAAAGTGGTTTTAAAAAATTCACATTTTTTTTAATTTTTAAAAATTACAAAAGAGAAAAAGAGTTTTTAAAACCGTCTAAGGTATGTTAAATAGATGAATAAAAAATATTAATATAAAACTTACAGCTACTTGTTACAAATCCAAATCAGATTCAGAAGATGAACTTTCAGAACCAAGATTTATAATAACTGGCTCGATCATTTTATAAGTAATATTGTCCAGCTTCCACATTTTTTTCCTCTTCTTTAATAGTGTGATTTACTGCCATTTCCCAGTTTTCAGGTTTTACATTATTTACGGCCTCCAAAAACAACTGTTTAACATCATGAATTTTTAAAAGTGGTATTTTTTCTTTAAACTTCACTCGTTATCTGTGCCCATACCAGTTCAATCGGGTTTAATTCACAATGATATGGTGGGGATCTAAGTACTGTCATTCCAAGATTTTTGGCAATTTCATCAATTTCGTATTTTTTAAATTTTTCTTTATGAAGGGCACACAACGAATAAAGTTCCTTTCTTATAGATCGGGATGGTACGTAATATTTTTTGAACTCAGCCAATTCTGCAAGTCTTTTTTTAACCACTTGGTTGTGGGCAGTCCTTCTATAAGTCTGGAGTGATAACTTGCATTATCCATTACTATTACACAGTTCTTAGGAAGAAGATCTATCATTTGTTCGAACCATTCTTGAAAGACATCAGCGTTCATGTCTTCATGGTAGTCACCGGTACGAGTTGATTCAAAAGTTAATAACCACCTTCAACAAAACCGTCTGAACTGCCAATGTGTACTATTATCAGCCTGCGTCCCTTTCCTGATGGTGGGTTAAACCAGTAGCTAAGTTATTTACAAAAGCGTGCCTTTGACTTGCAACACTTTCATCCTGCCAAAATTTATTTGGTGTATGACCCTCGTTAATCCATGTTTCATCAAGATAAAATATTTTTCTTTTTTGGTTTCTCATTTCCTTTATGGTTCTTAGAAAATGTCTTCTCCATATGACAATATCGCTTCTTTCTAATAAAATAGACTTTCTGGGATTCTTTTTCCAGCGAAGCCTATTTCCTTTAAAAGTTTCCATAACGTACTTCGACTCATTTCTGGGTAATCCTTATCATCTCGAACTGAGACAAGAACTTTATCCAATGTTGGAAATTCTTGTCTAAAGAAGAATTCATGCACTTTCCGTCGAAGTCCTTCTTTAAAATGATATTCTATTTAAAATTTTGGTTTCCCTGGAGCATTACGTGGCATTTGAAAACCACCACATTTCTCTTCTTTAATAACTCTGTAAATCGTAGATTTCCCAACACCAAGTGTACTGCTAACTAACTCAACGGTCTCATCAACACTTTCACATAAACGTTTGTCTGTAAATGATTTAAAACAATTAAATATTAATGTTTTTTCATTAACTGTTAAAGGACCAATTTTTCGGCGTTTACACGGCACTTCCAAATTTTCCATAACACTAGTATACACAATAAACTGCACCTTGCAACTGAAGTACCTACTTTTAGTGAACTGTTAAGAATTTTGAATACGCCACTTGGACCTTCCTACAAAATGGAAAAACCCACTATCACATTTTCTGTGGAATAAGTTTAGAAGGTAATTATCTAGTCAATTACTGTCGTAGATTCCTGGAATTAAAGAATTAAATGTTTGATTGTTGAAACCCTTACTTCGTGGAATGCACTCATTTCAGATAAAATAAAACGTTTTATTTTATCTAAAAAATTAAACTTTATTTTGCAAATAGGTAGGTACTTATTAAACTTTTATTGGTTATATATAACCAATAAAATAAACATCTTACATTTCTTGCAAATTCATTAGTACCTGTTAACCTCCATCACTCCGACACTGGCAACCTTATTTAGGGATTAGTAACACTCACAACTATTGTATTCTATTCTGCTCCAACCTTTATACCTGGTGGTCATACTCAATTTAAAATTGTTTTCCTATATACTTCTGTAAACTTGTTGACAAATATCTGTTTTTCATTGAGTCACCCGTATCAAACAGTTTAGGGATTTGCATACATAATTTATTGTTTTATTACTCCCTCATACATAAAAATACACTATACAAAGAAGCTTCGGTAAAACACAAATTTTTGTATGCGGCATTGCCATATCCTTATTATGTATATGTTTTATGCCTCAAATATGCTTTGAAACGGTACATTTTTATTGTATTCTTTTATGGAATCTGGTATTTTTCTAATTTATATAAAACACGAACGAATAAATATTTGTTTCTTTCGATATTAGTTGCAGTTCTACTATATTTTTTACCGCAACTATATTACTGTTAAGTATGTCAAAGAATAATATAAATATTTATTCTTTTACAGAAATTAAAGATAATTTTGGATTAACAACAGAAAGGCAATATTGTCCTATAGATGGAAATTACATTGTAAACTACAAGGGCACTGCCCAGAAGCGGGCTAATGAATGTAGAGGTTACGATTCTATACTCAATTCATGTCCATCAGGGTCTACTTTAAATTTTATGCTAAGAAATTGCACATTCAAAGGTTATGGTAAGCAAAAAGATTATTATTGCATGTTTTTTTTTCTAATATTGGCGGATTTTAGACATGAAATTTGAATGCCTTGGACACTGGAAAGGAATAGACGATGAAACTTTTGTCATTTTTACTGATAGTAGATATATGTCCAATCTTAGACCCAAATACAGATGTGCCGTGAGTTATTCAAAACAATAAAATAATTATTTGCTATCTTTAATACGAGTTAACTATAATTTTAAGTTAAGAATTCGTTTATTTTGACGTTTCGATTTCCACTTCTGAAATAGTTCTCAAAATACAAATTAAACAAATTATACTAAATGACATATAAGTCCAAACACCATTATAAATTATTATATTTTGAAAAATATTTTTCAGAGTTCAGTCAAAATTTCAATATGATTGAAGCAACTTAAACTATATTTCACGAATTTGCGACTATTATGAATTAGGGATGAAAGCTTTGACTAAACCACAGGTTCTTAAACTTTTTTGTACCACACCCTAGGCCTTGTATGGGCCTAGGAACAAAACAAAAACAAATAAGTATTACATTGAAAACAAACATTTATTTATACTGCCATAATATACAACAAAATCAGTTTTCATAAAATACAAAAAATATTAATAAAAGAAAAATAGATTAGGTTAGTTGGTGAGATGGATGGAATAGGCAACTAGTAAAGAAAATGCTTGCAACTAGTAAAGAAAATGCAAGCATTGCCTATTCGTGGCTGATTTTTAGTAAGTGCACAACGCAAGTCACTAGTAACATCAAGTTTATTCCGATACTTTGTTTTAATTGCCAAAAGTGTTAAAAATGCTTCTTCACACAAAGAGGTACTTGAAAAAGGCAAAATATAAACGAAGAGCTTCCGTGATGCACTAGGATACACTTTGAAATGTTTAACCAAAAACGAAGGTTTGTGCATTATATCAAAATTGTATTGGCAGAGGAATCATGTTTTATTTGCAAAGTATCTTCTTGAAGTGATTCAGACAGAGAGTATATGTTGACATGGAATGGGTCAGTTGACATGGTTTAGTCACATAGTCACAATGATTACATTCAGGAAATCAAAATCAGAATAGAAAAGCTAGTGGACAGAACACGTCACAAACAAAGAGGTTTACAATTAAAATAAAAAAAATAGAATCATCATCCAGCCTCAAGAGTCCACTGCTGAACATAGGCCTCTTCCTCATGTTTCCAACCCCGTCTATCTTGCGCCGCTCTTATCCAGTTTTTATTGAGTCTTCTTAAATCGTCAGTCCATCTTGTAGGTTGTCGACCGACGCTTCTCTTGTCTTCCCTTGGCCTCAATTCCAATAACCTCTTTGTCCATCGCCCATCTGTCATTCTGGCTATGTGTCCTGCCCATCTCCATTTTAGTCTGGCTATCTTCTTGATGATGTCAGTCACTCCGGTTTTCTCCTGATGTCTTCGTTGGTCATTCAGTCTCGCAGAGTTATTCCTAACATGGGACCGCTCCATTCTTCTCTGCGTGACTCTCAGTTTGCTACCAAATTGAGAAAATTAGAATATCTCGGACATATTACACGTAGAGAGAAATACACCTTGCTCCAACTGATTATGCAGGGAAAGATCCAAGGAAAGAGAAGTATAGGGAGGCGTAGAATGTCATGGCTGCGCAACCTGAGAGAGTGGTACGGATGTACATCAAATGAACTTTTCAGAGCAGCCGTCTCAAAAGTTCGAATAGCTATGATGATTGCCGACCTCCGACTCGAGATGGCACTTGAAGAAGAAGAAGAAATGGTTTTGACATTTGGATTTTCAAACTTGATCCTTCATACATCTTCTTGAAGTGTGTTTCTTCTGAGATTAACTCTACTTTATGGAAATTTGAATAATTGCAGGGGAATTGTTGATATTTTACGCCTCCAAAGTTGCAATTTCTCAATATCTTGATCGCACCATGATGAGTTACTATATTTGAGTCTCCAACCTGCAGTTTTAGGTTAAGGCTGTTCAATGAGTCAAAGACGTCTGACAAATAAGACAATGTTACTTTGATACAATGTTTTTTGTAGGCCACGCTTACTTAATTTTGCTTTTGATGTTCCAAAAAGGTGATTACTTCATTTCGAAGGTCAAATAATCTTGCCAACATGTTTCCTTTTTTAGAGCCATCGTACTTCTATATAAACTAGCAGTCTTTTTGTGATCACTTTCTTAATCTTCATAAAGAGTTTTAATTAGTCGAGTATTAAACGCACTGTTTATATGTACCTAATTCACTAGTTTAATACACAACTTTACTTATATACTAAAAACTGCATCTTGTCTGTGTATAAAACAATGTCAAGCTGAGTAGCAAAAAATGGCTATTATTTTATTGCATCAACTCCCTGGTTTTGTATGTCTTCGGCCATATCATCAATGCGAGGTTTTACAATGTTGTCAAAAGAATAATATCAGTTGCCTATAATAGACACGATTTAACAAGCGTATTCCAATAATATGGCTCTTCTTTTTTTAACAATAAGAAGTGATAGCTTGCTTCAAGCACTTTTTCAGATGACTGAGCAATAGAACCGATAACAAGTAGAGGGTGTCTCGAAAATCCTTTAACCAGTCTTTACCAGCAAGTTTTGTTTGGTCCGAAAAATATGCACAACGGCATTCCTAACTTCGAGTTTTTACACCATAGACCTTACGTCTTTGGTGGTGAGGCCATAAGGCTTTGCATGTCGAGAATATAGGTTACAAGCTTTGTTCCTCGGTGAATATGCTAGTTTTGCTTTCAAGTCTCGTCAAATAGTCCATGGTTAGCTTTTTTCCCCCTTACAATGTACCTTAAAACTCATCAACGGTACCTCAAAATTTCTTGCTGCTGTTTTGTATGCAGTGCCATTATGCACACTTTCAATAGCTTGCCGCATCGGATCGAGTGTCAGATTAAATGATCTCGGGATCATTTAATCTGACACCCTGGAGGATCATTTTGCCCGAAACGAGCAGCCATGTTTATTACGTAGCAGCCAATACTTGGTATTTCGTAAGCAACTCAAATTATTAACAAAATATTGGACTTACAGCAACTATAACCACAATTGAACATTCCTAGTTGTTTTAAAAGTAATATTACAATAGTAAGTGACACACCGTATATCAATCTTTATAACATTACTGTTTACGCGAAATTCGGGAATGCAATGTTTTCTACGCTAGAGGCTGATATTCAGCTGATTGTAGAAGTGCATTGGGTGATGGGTACGCCACTACAAATACAGATGGCATTACAGTCGTAAAAATAATGTGAAGGATCGTTTTGCCAGCAAGGATCATTTTGGGCCACCCTCTGATAAAATAATAACAATAACACTCAAATAAGAATGAAATTTTTCTTAAACCATTGGTTGAAGAGTCTCTAGCGACAATCCAAAACAGTCGCAAATTCATGAAATACTGTATACAGGGTAAATGCGCCTGGGCTCTCTTCCGATTAGGTGGTCAGTATCCTCCTCAGGCTCTAGTTAAATGCCCCAATTAACTGCTCTCAAAGTTTGAGGAGGATGCTCTAAATTAAGAAATTACCATTAAAGATAGTAAATAATATTACAATATCAGACGAAAATAGCTTCAGAATAATAAAACAATTTTTTTAATTATAGGTTTATCGACAAGATCCAAAAACTAATAAAATACAGATGGCTTTGAGTAGAGATTCAACTTGCACGACTGACCTTTACAATACCACTAGTGGTTTCGAAACATTCTCATTGGTACCAAGAGTTGAGAGACCTTGGCCAGTTGAAGTATCTTTTGAAATGTGTAGCTTTCCTCAATGGATGTATGGTGATTGGGAACACCTAAAAATTAGATCAGACACCATATTGTACAAAGACCATAATTCCTTTAAAACTCATACTATCAAGTGTGCAGGTGTATTAGAGGATAGCGACAAGTATATTATCTTCAGTAGAACTCAGTGGTAAGTATTGAAAAATGTAAATTTGGGCAAGTAACTTTAAAATTTTATAATTATAGTGAAGAAGAATCTTATAATTGTCTAAGGATAGCAAATAGAGGAAAAAATAATTAGAGTTTCAACTTGGTATGAATGCAAGTAATAACAACGATGATGTTTACGCTTTATGCGCCGATGAAAACTTTAAATCTGATGCTTGGATAACCCAAGGACGTAAGTAAAATCTTTTCTTTCTTACTATTTTTTATTTAAAGACTAAAGACTAAGTCTATATATAATTTTTACTTATTATAAACATTTTTCAAGGATTGGAAATACCTCCTGGCCTATCAACTGGAATGTGTCCCATCACTGGGGAATATACAGGAAGGATTCCAGATGCCACAGACTTATGTACTAAGCTATGGTCAGATTGCAGAGCTCCCGAACTTATGTACTATCAGGTATCTCATTGTGAAACTGAAGAAATCTATGAAGAAAGGGAGTATCAATGTTTGGGTCATTGGAGAGAAAGGCATCTATTATACACCTACACCGAAAGGAAAGATGTAGCTGCTGGTACCTATGAATGTTTTGTAGGATCGATTATCACGGAAAGTGAAATTTATATTAAAGAGGCTGGTGAGCACTGCCAAAGAACTGTCGATCCATTAAGATATGGAATGAAAATTTAAAGAAACAACCGTTGTACTCTTGTATAGAAAGAAGTAAGAATATGGATAATTAGGTTTATGGGTTAGTTTTAACTATATCATTGTTTCAGATACTACTCCTAAGCATATTCAAAGAACAACGACTAGATCACCTACTAGACGTACAACTAGTTACGTCTCTAAAAGTACAACCATTATGTCTGATATCGGTGAGTACCTTTTAAATATATTACATGGTAACTACAAAAATCGATTTTCTTTATTATTCTTTATTCTTTTTACTTATGTCTGCATAGTGCCTATATATATATATATATATATATATATATATATATATAAAATTATATATAATATATATATATAATGTATATATATATATATATATATATTATATATATATATATATATATATTATATTATATATATATATTATATTATATATATTATATATTATTATATATATATATATTATATATATATATATATATATATATATTATATATATATATATATATATATATATATATATATGAGAGTAAAACATTGCATTTCATTTCAATCGGAACTCCACCATTGCCCGACACGTGTTTCGGGTTATTCAACCCATCGTCAGGACCACTTGTGGAAAAACCAACTGAGTGAAATGCAGTCTAGTATTTGGTCATTATAACCAAAATAACAGCCAGGGTACGTTAGCAGCGACATCTATACGAAATAACAAGAAGTCGAGAGACCTCTCTGATAACAAATTAGGTGAACCGCAAATTCAAAGCCTCTTGCTAGAGGCTTTTTAACGACGCTAGAAGTAACCTTTATTTCGACATGCATCTACGATTCACATTGAAAATTACATCTTTTTCGCTGTTTACCTAGAGAAAGACGTTTAAATGAAACAAATAGGGGCAAACATCAAAATCCGTGATGTGAATCTGGTTACAATAATTTAAAGGAATTATTTAGGTCTTTACATAAACATGATATTTCGAAAGATCATACATACAGCCAGATTAAATTAGATTTATTTGGAAAACAAAATATCTATGTTTCATTAGATAATGGCCAACGTGAAAATGCTATTAAACATAACGAAATTGTAAAAAATAATCACACAGTTTTACGTCGTTTAATTGATATTGTAATTTTTTTAAGTTGTCAGGAATTATCATTTAGGGACACGACGAATCGGAGCATTCGTTAAATCAAGGTAACTAATAAAAATGTTTAAGAAATACGATTTGGAATTTTTCTAATTTACTTTCTGATTCGAAGACATTTAGTGGTGTATCTAAAACAATCCAGAATGAATTAATAGAATCAATTAGTTCATTTTGATAATGTTATTGAATCTGATTTTCAGAAAACCAGTTGCTTTTCACTAGTAGATGAAACTACCGATCATGTCATTCACAATTATCAATTGTTGTTCGATACGCGTTACGTGGTAAATATTTATGAGAGGTTTTTAGGTTTTACAGACGTGAGTAAAAGCCATAAGACAGAATATATTTTGGTGTTTTATAGGACAGATTAAAATTTTTTGATATCAAAAATAAATTTGTAAAACTTATGACGGCGCTGCCGTGATGTCTGGTGAATTGAATGGTCTCCAGGCAAAAGTTAAAACTATTGCACCGCAAGCTTTATTTACTCACTGTCATTCGCATAGAATGAATTTAGTTTTTGCAGGATAAATGTAAAAAAATAAAAGAATGTCGTCTTTCTTGCCAGTTTAAGCGAATTTACTTTTTCTCAAGTTAAAAAAAAATGCCAACAGTTTGTCAGACACGATGGAATTTTAAATCTGGTTAGTTTTCACTCTACCAGATTTTCGTGAACAGCTTTTGAAAGTTTTTGATTTTATTATTGAATGCGACGATTTGAAACTGATGATATCTCGATCTGTGAAGCAATCGGTTTGTTATTAAATTATTACTCTTTTAACATACTTTTAAATATTTTTAAAAAGTTTTTACCCAAACCGATTTGATATTCAATGTTGTTTAAAATCAGTTAACTGACTTTATTAATTCCAAAAGTAGAATAACAAAACTGGTGCAAAATCTCAGAGATTTTCGTAATAATAGTAATTTCCAGTATAAACGCAGTGACATTTTGGACTCGCTTGATATTTCCGAATCCCCCAAAAAGACATAGGCATGACACACAAACAAATCTCGAGAAACGAGTATATTTGGAAATTTTGGATACTATTAGATATTATGCAAATAAAAACTCGTTTTTTTTTCGATTTTTGAAGATTTGGCAAATTTTTTTACCATTTGACATTTGCAAAGTTACTCCAAAGAATTTCCAAAATATTTATTAGACAGATTAATTAAAAACTAATCCATCATTCTTTAATAAAATAAAATTAGAAAATGAATTAGAAGTTTTATATGCTGATCCAAATATTTTCTTACAAGATATCTATAATTTTATATACAGCAATTCATTACAACAACTGTTACCGAAATTAATAAATTATTGTCATTAATTCCCTCAATAGCACCAACGTCTGCTTCAAATGGAAGGAGATTTCTCTTGTCTCGAAAGAATCGAAACGTATTGTCGAACACCATGAAACAAGAGAACTTGTTTCATGGTGTTTTATAGACACCATAGAATGGTGTCCAAACACCCCAATGAAACAGAAACTTTTAAATCTCTCCAAAACTCTAATAAATTTTACGATTAATTTAAATCCATTTTGCTATTTCCAAACAACGTAGCTAGAGTTCGCTTATAAACATGTTTTATATTCTAAATTTATAGAAAAAAAACAAAAAATCTCCTCATGATTGAAATCTTTATTAAACGGTATACCTATCTGACAAGACAAAAAATACCTTCCGACCTTGTCTCTCAAGCCACGAGCCGCCAATGATTGCAAGCAATTGAATACGAAAATGAATGTCTAAAAACATTTTGTATGTTGAGGTATAATATAATGTGAGGTGTATTCTTGTGTCTAAGATTAAGATTATGAACGTCAGTCCAATTTGTTCGATTGTACAGGTATGTCAACTCCCTCGTGAAAATGCTTTTATGATAAAAATATAAAGCAGAAGTTTCCGACGATATTTCATATTTAGCCATTTGACTACGGTGAAGGCCATGACTTATCCTTTGAAATTCCTGATGCCAAAAATCATGTGGGAAGACTTGGTGTGGACCACTTAATAAATTACGGCTTTGATACAGTCATTTAAAAACGTAAGCTCTTTGTAAACAAACACTTACGTGATATGTAAACCTTAAATATTCGTCGAACCAAATCCGGAGGCTTTAATATTTTTTGCTTAAAATTAAATATTCATTTCCTAATATAATTCGATTGACATAATTCTCTAAAAATATTTTCCTATGGAGATCCTCCCGAATATGATACCCTGAGTTATCTCGAGATATCTTGAGAGGCTAACCGTTTTTTCCACTGCAAAGTATACCAATGAGTCCGGCTCACAAAAACCTGTATTTCTGTTACTGAACTCATTTTCGTCCAAAAATGGAGTTTCATCGTTTTCCCACCGACTCTACAATTTTAATACTCTCGGCTACTTGATAGTATGTGTGTATGTGAAAAGATGGCTTGGAAAAAGTTGAAAAAATCATTTTTTGCGTATAAAAACGTTCTTATACATTTGTAGAAAAATAATTTAAAAAAAGTTATAGATCTTGAAAAGTCCTTTAATTTTCCGAGTTTTTAAATTAAAATACTAAACAATTTATTAGCGATTAATAAAAAAGCCCTTATTTTTGCAGTGATTTATAAATATAATAACTGTGTTAAAAATGAAGCTCTGACCTTTTAACTGGAACTGTGTTGATTTGCAGTCTAAATCCTTTTCACCAAAAACGACTAAAGAGGATTTCCATTATTTAATAACATTAAGAGCTAAAAATTGAACAGATTATAAACAAAAATCTAAATTTATGATGATCCATTTATACACTACATATTCATACCGTAAGTCATACATATTCATACCATTTTATACAGCATAACTAATAAACCAAGTATAAAACTTACTCAGAATAAGTCAGGTATAGTGCAAAATCACTACCAATAAACACGGAATAACTTAGATAAAAGTTATACTTGATATAAGAATTTATTCCAGGATTATACCGACCCACACCCTAGTTTAAATCTGGAATAACGGTATAACCTATTTTATGAATGTCAAAGTCATCAGTGACAAGAATATATTATTTTTTTGTATTGTTGTCACGATGGAAAAATACACGAAAAAGAAAAACTTTTAAAGAAAGTATAAATCCCTTTATTTGTAATCCTAAAAATGCATTGATAGAGAATTTTAGAATAAAATATCAGTTTTACTATTTTTT